GGGATTCTCTCTCTCTCTCTCTCTCTCTCTCTCTCTCTCCACCCTTCCTCAACTCACGCTGTCTCTGTCTCCCCCAAAATATAAATAAATAAACTTAAAAAAAGTTTTTCTTTAGAATTAAGATTAGGTTTTTTTCCCTGAAACTGAAAAAAGTAGTAATTATAATATCCAGTGTGAGTGTGGATGCAGGGGAAGACACACGTTTATATCTTTGGCAGATTTTTAATTGACACATCAATCCTTCCAGAGAACACTCTGAAAATATGACTCCAAGCCCCCAGTATCACTGATGTCCTCTGACCCAGTAATGCCAGAGAAACCAGCAGAAGACCCCTCCCCCACCACACTTGTGAGAAATAGTAACTGTTGTAAGCCATCAGGGTTTAGGGTGATTTGTTAACCACTAATAGACAACTGAACAGTATGTAATTCTTTTCAGGCACCTCTTAGGTTAATCTCATTTAGAATAAAATCATAAATAAAGCAATAATGATCAGGTACTTTAAAATAAAGCCTTCAAAAATGGTTTAAAACTTCACCTTACCCTAATAATATAGCATATTTCTAAATGTGTGATATAGTATACTACATATTACATTTATGTGCTTCTAATACAAAGCTCTTTTTAGAAAATTAATTTAATATTTTTTTAAGTTTTAATTTTTTTTATTTTTGAGAGCGTGTGTGTGCGCAAGTGGGAGAGGGACAGAGTGAAAGAGAGAGGGAGAGAGAGAGAATCTCAAGCAGACTCTGCACTGTCAGTGTGAAACCCAATGTGGGGCTTAAACCCATGAACCTTGAGATCATGACCTGAGCCAAAATCAAGAGTCGGATGCTTAACCGACTGAGCCACCCAGGTGTCCCCGTAATACAAAGCTCTTTAATTGGAAATCATTATAATGTTACTAGTACCAGAAAACTTATCACTGGATAAGTGATAAAATAAAAATAAATATTCAATAAAAATAATGAATTCTTTAAAACTTCCATGTAGTAAACACACACACACAAACTCCTATTATACAGGACTCACACTGGTTTCTCCTTCTGCCTCCAACTTTAAAATATTAAAAGGCAATTTGGGTACAATGATTTCTTTTTTTTTTTTTTTT